CATACAAATTTTGGTGCCAAGCCATGACCATTTGTTTCTCTGTCTGTAGTGAAAAGCATTTCAGATCAACGAAACTTTTGGGAAATATTGGAGCCCGGGCAAAGAGACCAGAATTAACATTGAAGTCAATGGGGAAATTAATGATGGCCTTCCTCCTGTATGAATCGGCATGATAGGACAAGATCAAATAGTTGTCTCCCTTTATAAGAGAATAAAAGCAGAAGGAACAAGCCAACAGTGAGACTGATGTCACCCGCCGAAATCCCAAAATAAATAGATGACACATATTAATAAATAGCACATTTATTTTTTTAAAATTGACATTCTTTTACCGTTTTCTACAAAATGGTTCATTTTTTACACTTTGTATGTGGGATGACCTGTCATTCCTCTTGCATGATAATTGGCATCGTTGTAAAGCAGAGAATCTCTAGTGTACAAATACATGTAGGGTCAAATTAATGTCAATGAATTGATTTTGAACGGATACAATCAAGTTTTAAAACCCCTAAAAAATATAAACCACCTCCGCTTGTTGCTGTGCTGTTTACACAACTCGTTTGCTGATTGGCCCAGACACCGAGTGAAAAGCATTATGGTTACGTGGCTGACTCAAGCGGGCGATAGATATTTGGTTTTGGCAGTAATGTTTTTGGGTACCTACGTGCGATTCACTCTCATAAGTGGCAGACAAAAATTAATTCTGATCGTATATAGATTGCCGTTGAGTGTTAATCCAAACCACGTGGCTGATTATGTAAATTAATCGACATACGGGTGGGTGTCTTTGAGTAATACTAATTAACTGTCACAGGTCAATGATAAAGCCGTCGACAACTCCTTATTTACTCTGAATAATTAATCCAAGCAGTGATTATCTGATATCTCATATCATCTTTAAAAAAATAATTTATATTCCTTAAATGGAAATAAAAAAAAAATGGCCAATAGGAAATCGTCGGATCAAATTTTTACTACGATTTTCGTCTTCAGCACCCCTGAAAACCTGTGGAAAGATATATTCAACAACAAATAGCAAATAAATGACCTGGTTGCTATGGGATTTTGTTTCGGAACATACCAAATCTTTGACTTGCTTTTTCTCAAAACTTACTTTTGTGAGTTGGGAGCTTCGAATGGACAGAGCTCAGTCAATTTTTGCCCATTTCAAACAAACTATACATCAAATTGAAGGTAATGAGTTGGAGAATGTGAATTTAACAATAACTCAATTTTTATAAAATTTCCTTACTACGACTCAGTATGGCATAGGGGGTCACATTTGTTGGTGCAAAATAAAATGCCCGGTTATAATTCAAACACAAAATCCAATTAATGCTAATTTTGAGTCAATATACATGTATGTTTGACAATTGAATATCCAAATAATGAAATATGATTTTCAAGAAAAGAGGTGGAGTGAGTCAGTCTAAATAAAAATGAAGACATAGAAATTTCTCTGCAAACACATAGATTTTACTTGCTCGAGAAGGGAAATGCAACATTTTCAAGTTTTAAAAGATTAGAATTGTGTTAAGCCAGAGGATCACAGCAGCAAAATGCATATCACTCAGCAGTATACATGTGTATGTACATAATTAAGACTAAATTTCTTAATTTTCAAATTTCTGTGAAAATATTGATGCATTTCCAAAATCTAACAAACACATGGATCCTTTCCAAATTTCTGTGAAAATATTGATGCATTTTTGATATACATGGATCGTTTCCAAGTTATTTAAATTAAAGATATATTATGTAAGATTTAGATAAAGAGCTAGCCATTCTTGCTATAATATTTTGAAAATAGATAATGTAAAATGAATAATTTGAAAATTTCATTCAAATTACTCTATTGCGAGCGAAGATATTAGCTTTTGAAGGTTTGACAAGACGTGTGCAATAATTTCAACCACTGTACTGTTTGTTCAAAGCTAATTCTCGCTCCTTCTTTTTTAAATTAAATCAAAATATGGCTGAACCTTTCTAATCTATTTAATATCTCTTCTTTGATTGGCATTTTATGGCAAGCCAAAGCTGAATTAATTGCAAGACCGTTTTTCTGCATGGATTTGGAAAGAGAAAAAATCAAGTATAACAATTTTTTTCCATCACCTTCCAAGCATTTTTTTCTGTACAAAACGACATATAAAGATTCAATAAAGATTATTTTTTTCCATTGCTGCTCTTGTATTTTGTTATAGTCAAGTCAATTTATACTGTTCATGGAAATATTTTACCACTATATTCGGTTTTTATAAACAATTCAACAAAATTATTTTTCACACGTCAAGACAAAAAAAAATACAAATGTCAAGACGAAAAAATTCATATGTCAACACTAAAAAATTCACATGTCATGACGGAAAAATTCACATGTCAAGACGAAAAAAAAATTATATCACGAGCACGTGACCCTTCAAGAGCATGTGACCCGTCAAGAGCACGTGACCACAAAAACGTAATATTTAGGGTGCATGCCCAACCCCCAGGGACAGTGCCACACCCATTTTTTTTGTGTGTGGCTGTGTGTCGCCTACAGCCCACAATTGTTAATAGATCGTCTTGAAAACTTTTTATACTTATTCCTTATACCCTAAGGCTGACCTCTATTATTTTTGGTGCATCCCTGACCCCCTGGAACAGAGCCATGCCCAATGTCTGTGTGTCTTGTGTTTCGCCTACAGGCCGCAATTCTTAACAGATCCATTTGAAACTATTCATACCTATTCTATACCCTAAGGATGACCCCTATTGTTTTTTGGTGATTGCCCAACCCCCAGGGGCAGTGCCATACCCATTTTTATACGCCCACATTGTGGACGCTCTAGAGGTCAAAGTTAATATCTGATTGACTTTAATTTATACACAGTGTTTAAGGTCATGAGACAAAGAATCCTATTGATTTTCAACGATTTCCGATAATTACTGCCAGAGTTATCGCCCTTGATCACTTTGAAAAATCTTGTGGACGCTCTAGAGGCAAAAGTTAATTTTCGATTGACTATAAATTTATACACTGTGTTTAAGGTCATGAGACGAAGAAGCCTATTGATTTTCAGCAATTTCCATTAATTACTGTTAGAGTTAAGGCCCTTGATCACTTCAAAATATCTTGTGGATGCTCTAGAGGCTAAAGATAATATTTTCGATAATTACTGCCAGAGTTATGGCCCTTGATCACTTTGAAAAATCTTGTGGACGCTCTAGAGGCTAAAGTTAATATCCGATTGACCTTTAATTGATACACTGCTTAAGGTCATGAGACGAACAAGTATATTGATTTTCAATGAATCTTTATGACTTGAACAGCTAAATCCATGATGTTAAAAGTTTCGTATACTAAACGTTAGCATGGGGCAGAACTTTATAAAAACCAAACAAATTCTAATAGTTTTCTCATAATTACTTAATGAGTTGTTACTCTTAATCAGATTTTCATTACCGAAAAAAGTAAAAATATGCGACTACTCTTGTTGACTACCCGGACGATATAGCTGCTGTGGGCGTATGTTTCATTGCCTGGCAACCTATCTTTTAATTGTGTCTGTGTGTGTTGCCTACAGGCCATGATTCTTAATGGATCATCTTTGAACTTCGGATATGTATTCCTTATAGTTTAAAGACGACAACTGCATATCCCGATCCTTTGGGGCAAAGCCACCCCCAATTTTTGTGTTTGTCGTTTATAGGCCGCAATTCTGAATGGATCAGCTTGGTACTTAGCAGATGTATTCCTTATAGTCTACGTGTGTCAACAAATGATTTTGGTGAATGCTCGACCCCCAGGGGCAGAGCCACGACCAATTTTTGCCTTTAGCGCCCGAAAGCCACAATTCTGAATGGATTATCTTGGGTCTTGGTATGCATATTCCTTATACTCAAAGGACGGCAACTATTGATGTTGTTGCACGACCCCCCCTCCTCCAAACCCCCCACCCCCTGCCCTTTCGGCGGTGCCACACCCACTTTTTGTTGATATTGTCTGTAAATGATATACAGGTTGCAATTATTAACAGATTTGGATCCAATTTGGAAGGATCCAGCATAGGGTTATACCTTTATATATTGGTCCATGTCAAACCACGAGCGGCAGAGCCACGCCCAATTTTTGTGCTTTTTGTCTACAGGCTTGAATTCTAAATGGATTATCTTGGAACTTTGCATATTTATTCCTTATACCGTAAAGACGACAACTATTTATTTTGGTGCATGCCCTAACCCCCACTTTTTTTGTTAATATTTTGTCTGAAAATTTTGCAAAACAAACCCAACACCTAGCCTTCTTTGCCTCTTGTCATATTACAGCCATTTCATACTTCATTCTCTTCATTTTAAAAAGTACCATATCAATGAAAGCAGGAATGTGGACGAATATTGCAGTGTTAGAGATGATCTAGTTGTAGTATGAAATGCCATTATATAGCAAGCCCGTGGTGCCTAAGTTAAAATGTTCAAAGCAATGATCGTAGAATTATGCCGCTATTGCCGAGAATATCAAAATGAATATCAAAAGTTAACCTCTTTTTTTTTAATAGCTAATAGGGAGCGCTTTCGGATGGATATATTTTTGGTGTGTAAGACACATTTAGTTTCCTGGTCACTAAATATTTCTTTGGGTTGGAAAATAATTAAAAATGTGTGACGAAGACCACATATGTGACCGATTCTTACAAAGGAAAAGGAGTACAGATTAAAATATTGTGTGATCATGATTGACATTGGTACAGAGCCGATTCAGGGGAAATGAATAAGAAGTAAACATGAATAATACCCACTGCGACCATGTGATTTATAATTTGCAATTTCTGACAATTTTTGTGGAAATAAAGTCTGCAGTTTGCGAGAGCTATTATGGAGGACTACGGAAAGCAATAAAATATGCACCTCAATTGGGATTGAGGACACTATATTGAGGTCAACGATGAAGCGCTGGAGCAACAGCACGCCTTAAACATGAAGGCATGGTAATATATTTAAAAAAAACTGTTTTTTTCCAGATAAGTAGTTCTGACAGAACCCTTATAGCTGCATTTAAGGAAATAGGTCAAATAGCAGATAGATTAAATTTACCTAAAATGATATCTGTAAGTATAAGATAATATAGTTTAATATCAGTATTCCAGGCCTTATATCTGTCTATGAAATGGTTTGGAATACCCATTTGAAATATCTGAAATCAAAATGTCAGGGTACATATGGATTTCCTCAATGGCTGGACCTTCATTTAATTACTCTGTCCAAACAAAACATACAGTAATGATTTTACCTTCCGTTAGAAATCATGCAGAATTTTTGTGCAAGATTAAATTTACCTTTGACAGTCCTACAGTACCCAATCCAGTCTTGCCTCTTAAGACTGGATTACAGGGAAAAGGTGTCTTATTAAAGGGTACAAGGATTTGACACACTGCTATAATGAGGATCGAACATGCAAACGCATATTTACAGTGGTGCCATTTCCTTCACGCACCTTTATGATTATGTTGACTGGCAGTCTGTTCGAAAAATGCTTCAGTAATTTTGATGTACTGTGATTTATTGTTTGTATTTTTGTAGGATCGAGGCAGTACTTTATTTAAACAGGTACATGAAGGCAAGTCATTACGTGGTAGAAGTAATGATGCCATTGTTTCAGCCTCTATGTATATAGCATGTCGACAGGAGGGTGTTCCTAGAACTTTCAAAGGTAAACAGTTTTCTATTAAACTTTACATACAGGTTGATATTTGCACATATTTAAATTTTTTCTCCCCTGCCTTTCAAAGAACACAATGGACTATTAAAATCATATTGTCTCTATTATGTCAGATTGAGCAGAAACTTTTGATACTTTGGAACATGATAACTTTGATTCTAATTGAGTGCGAGTGATAAAGCATTGTATGTAGTTTAATTTCATCAATACATTGACGAAGTTCGATAATGAGCATATTATGTAAGTCTGGTAATGAAGTAATCAGCTGTAGGTGAGGTACTGAAATGGCTATTATTATCTATTATTATCTATCTCAAGTCTCATGTCTGTACCTCAGTACTAAAAGTATTAATATGTTTTTTATAGAAATTTGTGCAGTGTCCAAAATATCCAAGAAAGAAATAGGCCGTGTATTCAAACTTATTCTTAAAAACCTTGAAACAAATGTTGAATTAATTACAACAGGAGATTTTATGGTGAGTTGTCTTTCTTTCATCTGTACAATAGTAAAGTGAGAGAAGTACTTTGACAGTTTTACCATTGACAGCAACAGAGTCAAATGCTTTTAATTTTAATGAACTAAGTATAGGTCTTGGAATTAAGACAACCGTGAAACGTCTAATGGCAAACAAAATGAAAGTAGAATGAATTATTTGTATTGCTATGCATATTGTGTATTGCAATATATATCAAATGGTGGTCAAATATGTATATCAAATAATTTAATTTGACAGTATTTAGATATGTGTACTCTGAATATATGCAGTAGATTTTCACAGAAATACAAACTTTCAGTTTCATATGCAGCTACATGTAGTGTTAGGTCCCAAAATTAATGATATCCTTGAGTGCCTGGATAGCCATATCTACATTATTCCTTAAGTTACATTGATAAGTGATCACTTAAACCATGGAATGATGGAACTCCTTGTTGGTTTTGTTTTGCATGTAGTGTGGTTCTCCTGCACTAACTATTACAAAAGTTACATAAACCTATCGAGCCAATCGAGTGATCACTTCCAAACAGCTCAATATTTTGACCTGACACTTTCAAATAAGCTATTCGGTCCATTTCTTTATATTTTGATATTTAAATTTCAAACTTGAATTGAAATTAAATCCACTTCTTTCAGTGAGTAGCCATGCTTAAATAATCTTATTGTTTTTCCAGTCTCGGTTCTGTTCAAATCTTTGTTTGCCGATTAAAGTACAGAAAGCTGCTACTTGTATTGCTAGAAAAGCTGTGGATATAGATCTAGTTCCTGGGTAAGTTATATACCACAGGCTACTGTCATACTACATTATACCATGATGTCTCTGCCAGGGCTGGGGTTATGGTAATGGAATGTAATCATTACATTTTTTAAGTAATGGCCATGTAATGAGTAATGGAAGATTTCAAAAGTAATGAGTAATGGAAATGTAATTAATTACATTCCAAAAATCATTTAATGGTCAATTACATTTCAATTACTTTTCAATTACATTTTATGACATATATAAATATTTCCAATATGACAAGCCTCAAATTTTATAGCACCGAAGAAGTAATTAAGTGTATCTGACACAAATCCAATTCATTATAATTCTAAAAAAAAAAGATTTAAATCAGTTTTAAAAAATTATAAGAAAAATAAGAAGGCATTAAACATTTTCTTTATTACTATTTATGTAGGAACCTTTTTTAGACATGTAACCTAAGAAGTGGATTTCTGATAAGATGTATATTATAATCAAAGATTAGTACTAATTTGCAACCAATCACTCAGTCAATCAATCAATCAGTCAGTTAGATTAAAAGACAAGTATCTCATCATTTTATGGTTACTTAAAACTAATATATATTTTGTTTAGAGTCATGCTGAATAATTTACCATTTATTATACAATATATTATAGAAAAACTATTTGGACTGATTAAATTTTTTTAAAAATTACTTAAAAGAAAATACAGTTAATTAACTATAGTTTTGATTCATTTTTCAAGTCATACAGTGAAAATGTCAGTTTTTTGTCACCACTGCCCGTCACTATAAAATTTGCCTTGATGTTTTAATTGCTAGAAATAATAATTCATAAACAAACAAACAAATTAAGTGAATCAAGGATTATTTTGAGTTTGATTTTGTAGGTACTTCATGGCAGAAAAATAATGTTGTCTTTTTTATTTCTATGAAAATGTTTTTTTATTTATATAGTCATAAAGTAATGGGTAATGGTAATTAATTACTTTCAATGTAATGAATAATGGTAATTAATTACATTGCTAAAAATCAGAAAGTAATTGTAATGATTACATTTAAAAAGTAATGGTAATGGTAATGTAATTAATTACATTGGCAATGTAATGGCCCCAGCCCTGGTCTCTGCTGTGTATCATGTTACGTAAATCTGATTGTAAGAGAGGATTTTATTTTTGCGTTTTATTTTGTCAAGGTTCAAGTTTATACATTTATCTCATCATCTGTTTATTATTGATGTTTACATGAATATGATTACTAATTGTGCTTGATAACGATAAGAGAATACTTATCGAAACGTCGTGCCTGTGTATAATAAACCAGTGATTGTTGTCCCATATAACTGTATAGTTTTGTTACTAATTTCTTTTCTTACATATCTAAACTTGACTGAACACTCAGCTGAATACAGATTTATTTACAAATAATTGTCATCTAGGTCTATGGACAAAAGTACAGATTTTGTAGTTTAATGTAGATAAATTGTTTGCAATAGAAGTTTCTATCTAGAATTAGAAAACCGGAAAGTGCATGATAAAACTGACATTTTCATTGGATGATGTAAATAGTTAGTTGTCTGTGGTTGTCCGGGTAATACACATTGTTACGAATACTGTATTATATTATATTGACTATATATAGTACAGGGGCTGACTGAAAAGTTCTGAGCCTGAGCAAATTTTTGAAATTGAATTACTAACCCCAACACAGATACATGTTAAATTTATACACAGTGTTTAAGGTCATGAGACGAAGAAGCCTAATGATTTTCGGCGATTTGCGATAATTACTGCCAGAGTTTGGCCCTAGATCTCTTCAAAAAAGTTAATATCCAATTGACTTTAAATTTATACACAGTGTTTAAGGTCATGAGACGAAGAAGTCTTTTGATTTTCAGAGATTTCCGATAATTACTGCCAGAGTTATGGTCCTTGATCACTTTGAAAAATCTTGTGGATGCTCTAGAGGCTAAAGCTAATATCTGATTGACTTTCAATTTATACACAATGTTTAAGGTCATGAGACGAAGAAGCCTATTGATTTTCAGCAGCAATTTCCTATTATTTACTGCCAGAGTTATGACCCTTGATCACTTCAAAAAATCTTGTGGATGCTCTAGAGGCTAAAGTTAATATCCGATTGACTTCAAATTTATACAAAGTGTTTAAGATCATGAGACGAAGAAGCCTATTGATTTTCAGCAATTTCCAATAATTACTGTTAGAGTTAAGGCCCTTGATCACTTCAAAATATCTTGTGGATGCTCTTAGAGGCTAAAGATAATATTTGATTAACTTTAAATTTATACAAAGTGTGTAAGATCACTTCAAAATATCTTGTGGATGCTCTAGAGGCTATAGATAATATCCGATTGACTTTAAATTCATACAAAGTGTTTAAGGTCATGAGATGAAGAAGCCTATTCATTTTCAGTATTTTCCAATAATTACTGTTAGAGTTATGGCCCTTGATCACTTCAAAATATCTTGTGGATGCTTTAGAGGCTAAAGATAATATCCGATTGACTTTATTTAAATTTATACACAAGTGTTTAAGGTCATGAGACAAAGAATTCTATTGATTTTCAGCGATTTCCGATAATTACTGCCGGAGTCATGGCCCTTGCTTGATCACTTTGAAAAATCTTGTGGACGTTCTAGAGGCTAAAGTTAATATGCGATTGACTTTAAATTTATACAGTGTTTACGGTCATGAGACGAAGAATTCCATTGATTTTCATCGATTTCCAATAATTACTGCCAGAGTTATGGCCCTTGATCACTTTGAAAAATCTTGTGGACGCTCTAAAGGTCAAAGTTAATATCCGATTGACTTTAAATTGATACACAGTGTTTAAGGTCATGAGACAAAGAAGCCTATTGATTTTCAGCGATTTCAGATAATTACTGGCAGAGTTATGACCCTTGATCACTTTGAAAAATCTTGTGGATGCTCTAGAGGCTAAAGTCAATATCTGATTGACTTTAAATTTATACACAATGTTTAAAGTCATGATACGAAGAAGTCTATTAAGGTCATGAGACGAAGAAGCCTTGATCACTTTGAAAAATCTTGTGGACACTCTAGAGGATAAAGTTAATATCCGATTGAATTTAAATTTATACACAGTGTTTAAGGTCATGAGATGAAGTCTATTCATTTTCAGTGATTTTCGATATTTTCTGCCAGAGTTATGGCCCTTGATCACTTTGAAAAATCTTGTGGACGTTCTAGAGGCTAAAGTCAATATCCGATTGACTTTAAATTTATACACAGTGTTTAACCCTTAACCGGTCATTGTCGACTATAGTCACCACAACGTTATACAGATAAGTGGTCACGGTCGACTAAAGTCGACCACAACAAGGACCTTTTTTATAAGCTGCATTTGAGTATTTAGTTTCGTATTTAATTGATATGGCCACGCATGCGTGTCAGACAGGAACTCGTCTACTCAAGGGCATTGAGAAAAACATGTCTTTGTTCAACATTTTTTGACGAAAGATGTAATTTAACGATTGAAATTCTTATGAAATATTCCGACTCGGATTGTATCTATGACACCGATTCTGAAGACGATATTTCTGATCAAAAGAATTTAGAATGATTTGCAAATTATTGATCAACTTATCCCCTTCAACTTTTTTTATTGGTGTCAAGAGTCTATCACTTATAATTATTTGGCAATAGTTGATTGAAATATACATACAAAATATTTCACATCAGCCTTTATTTAGCTTGACCACTTGACGTCATGACGTCAAAATGACGTTGACCGGTTAAGGGTTAAGGTCATGAGACAAAGAAGTCTATTCATTTTCAGTGATTTTCGATAATTACTGTCACAGTTATGGCCCTTGATCACTTTGAAAAATCTTGCGAAGCTCTAGAGGCTAAAGTTATCATCTGATTGACTTCAGATTGATACACAGTTTAAGAGCTTGAGACGAACAAGTATATTGATTTTCAATGAATTTTTATGACTTGAACAGCTAAATCCATGATATTAAAAGTTTTGTATACTAAACGTTAGCATGGGGCAGAACTTTATAAAAACCAAACAAATTCTAATGGTTTTCTGATAATGAGTTGTTACTCTTAATCAGATTTTAGTGTATTATAAATGTTTCACTTGTTGACTGCCCGGACGATTTAGCTGCTGTGGGCGTATGTTTCGTTGCCTGGCAACCTATCTTTAACTATTATAGTGAGAACTGCCAACCCGCTATCGAATCTCCCATAATTAATAGATCTTTAATGAGTTGTTACTCTTAATCATATTTTAGTGTATTTTAAATGTTTCATTGCTCAATAAAGTAAAAATATGCAACAAATCTTGTTGACTGCCCGGACGATTTAGCTGCTGTGGGCGTATGTTTCGTTGCCTGGCAACCTATCTTTACATTTATCATAGCTGCTTACATATGGTACAATGCATAATAGAATAAAGTAATTCTCTCGGCAAACCTCATCCAGCCAGACTCACCCATAGAAATTGCTACATCTTTTCCCTTCTGGAATCAAGCTGCTGTCTAGCGAATTCTCACAAGTATGATAGTTTTGTAGCTTTGGGTATTGTACCTTCAATTACCTAATTGGTCAAATATAATGTAAATAGGTATAGAGATTGGTTAAACAAGCTGAATGATGCAATCGTAAATTTCCTTTCACGTGTAATATTCTTATTCGCACAAAACCAGCTAATGTTTACCAAATTATAACTCTTTTTTTATGTAACCATCTGTCACTCATTCCCTAACTTGATGTACAAATACTACATATATGTGAATCTAATAACTTGCCAAAGATATTAATTAATACAATATAATGTCATCATTAATTTCAAGAGCATAAATTCTACAAAAAGTGTTACAGTATATTGTTGTCGTCCCTGTCCGTCCGTTTGTGGAAACTCTATAGGCCACAATTTTTATCCTATTTTGACGAAACTTGAAATATAGGTCTATCTCCCAAAAATCTTGGTTCCTTTCGATATTGGCATGTATCGGACCATAACTTCATGGAT